GCCAAGGTTCTTGATATAACAAAGAGTATATATTCTTAATATCGTTAGTCGGTTAGAGACACGTGTGTGCGGTTCGGAGTGCCGTATCCTTTTCCCCGAGTGATGTGCTCCAGTTACGGATCGGAGCTCGTTCCCCCACTCTCTATTCCATACGTCTGAGTTCTGCTCCGCCAGGATTCGAATGACTCAGACGTTTCGCAGCAACGCGGCAATTACAAAACGCATATAACAGTATACATGATATGTCTCCGTAAATTCTTCTGAAGGATATTCAGTCACCAAAGGAATTGCTTTCTCACCTCTCTCGCTAATTGCAATTGTCGTACCGATCGCGCATTAATATTCTGTAGAACGAAACTCGATTGCGACAATCTCGAGAGATACCTGAAGAATTTCGCCGGCAAACAGTTTTCGTGCGTGTGCCTACACGGAGACCGAAAGCCCGCGGAGCGTAAGGCTAATTTGGAGAAGTTTAAACGTCAGGAGGTGAAATTTTTGATTTGCACCGACGTGGCTGCCAGAGGATTGGACATCATCGGTCTGCCTTTCAGCGAGTGCTTCAGACAAAATCATTCAGAGAGTAAGAATACGTTACGTTATTTTTGTACAGTTCTTTTGTTTTCTTTCTTTTTCAATGATAAATGTAACTCTGCTGGACGAGAAGTCTAATTACGTGCATCGAATTGGAAGAGTAAATAATCTTAATTTGTGAATATAATTCTTCTTTCATGAAATTATCTTGCAGAGATATAGAAGCTCATAACGTTTGGTGTAAGAGTCAATATATAATCGTATATGTGTCAATAACATTTGAATGATAAGCACGTAACGTCATCTATAGTAGTGCAGAGGTACGAAATTTGAGATAAAATTATTGTTATTAATTTAATAATAATCGTTAAGGTCTTTGGCAAGTGTTCTTTCGTCTGCTTTTGAATATTTATCGTCGATTCTTTTTTTGTATTTTTTTCAAGTCGCACTGCTGAATTTTGCTAAATAATTAATAATAATAATAATTATTATTTTTATATGACTTTTTTATCCTGTATCTTTTATCCTTTCAAATATACAAATGTCATTCCTTTACAATTAAATTCTCATTTAATTTAATCGTCTAATTAAATTGCGATTCAGTATTTTTACTGAAACTTTGACAGTTGCGAATTTTTTTATATACTTAAACATTTTTTGTACGTGCGCAATCGGTCTTCGCAATAAAGTTTTTTCTTAAACATTTCGAAATCTTTGCAAACTACCAAATTTGACAAATTTCACACTTTAGAATATAAGAATTAAAAAGTGGAAATATTGTAATTTTTGAATTGTACATGCAGTAAATTAAAATCTTACCTAAATCACGGTTACAAGAGGGTAACGATGCATTTTTTTTTTGTAGTTGCGCGGTGGGTAATAGGACAGCTAATTTAGATGCGATACCGCTGCATAAAACAATAGTAAATAACAATCCATAAATGAATATCTTTAAGATCCAAATGATGATCTCGGAAAATGTTATTTTGCATAGATCCGCTTTTTGGTGGAGGTAGACATTCGAATACATCCCATGATGAAACATCCTTCTGCAGACTGAAAGGCACGTGATACGACAATAAACTCAGTATTTATTTATTTTCCAGCATTTTCAGTGCGCTATTTGCTGTTACTATTTATACATTTTTCCTTCTTATTTATATCTTGTTATATTTTATATATTTATATTTTATATTTTAAAATATATTTATATTTTATATATTTTTAATCTTTTGCAGTCTTATTCCTTCCCCTTTTCCCCGACGACATACACTTTTGCAAAAAAAAAAAAAAATTTTAACCATTTTAGTTTCACAAAACAAGATAATATTTATTAATTACCATTTTATTTATTGATTCTTTAATTTGTTTTTTACTTCACAAAATTAATACCAAACAATAACTGAAAAAAACGCAACATTTTTGCACAGTGCACAGTGCAATGATTTTATATATAGGTACGTAATCAAAACAGTCTTTGTCTACAAAAAAATATCACAACTTTTTAATGGTAAAACAAAGATGTTGAGAAAAAAATCAATGCGTTTAAAATACTAAAAAGTAAACGTTGTCTTGCTCTTAATCTAACAGATCGGGGGGGTCGTCAAAGAATTCCATCGTGTATGTCTTCTCTTTCTTCATTTTTCCAACTTTCGACGAATTTAGATTCATCCCACACTTCATTCTATGCCGTCTCAGAACAATTGTTCCTTGAAAAGTTGAGCCACATTTCTTGCACATTACGGTCTGATTGCACTCGTGCTTCTGATGATATCTAAAATTTTTTTCTTTTCCGTAACTGCGACCGCATTGCAGACACTGGTGCCTGCCAGCTTCTTTGTTGGTTCTTGAATTTGCATTTAATAGACACATTTTATTAATGTGATAAGCGACACAGTGTTTTGAATTGAAAGAAACGTGACAATATGGGCATACGAACAATATTTTCATATTCATTTTAAATTTTTCGATGCTCTTCGAATTCGTCCAAGGCGGAGAATTTTCTTCATCGCTGGCCTCGGTAGTCTGATCGTCAGTTATACAAATAGTTTTTTGAGAATGTTTACTGTCCTCTAAAACAAGAAACAGTCAATAATAAAGTCATCTGTAACACAATAGCAAATAAATGCTTCAAAAAAGAAAAGATAATAAAAAAATAAATATACAGAGTGTCCCATTTTATATTTTACAATCAAATATTTGGAAATTGCAAAGTTTGAGAGAAAAATGTTTCAGACAAAAGTTGTAGGGTTTCGAGAGGGACACAAGATGATAACATTGGTTTGACCCTGAGTGGCCTTGTCAAGGTTCAGAATAAGGTCATTTTGAATTTTTTTAATGGAACCCCTCATTTTTCGTTACATATTCTTGTACATATTCTTCGTTACATATTCTTATTTCGAGAGCTTTCCAAAACACATAGATAAAATGTTTTTTGGTTAAGTAAATTTCAAATTATAAAGCTTGAAAGTTGGAGTATCGTCGGCATTAGCATCATCCAAGGTGTCCGAACACTAGCTAAAACCTTTTGAACGTTGTTCAGGATCATGACATTGATGAAACATGTGAAGGTCATGACCATTGCAAATTGTTTCTCTTTTTTTCAAAAAATAAATATAATTTTCAAAAATGAAAATAAAAGCAATAACCTTTAATGGCCTTGATCTTGACATGTGTTGTTTAGGTTATAATCCTGAACAACATTCAAAA